GTATGAAAAATATGTTTATTTGGTACATTTTATACTTTTAGAGTTAAAAAGTCCTTCTAATAAGCTGCACCAAGCATGTACGAATTCAATACACCATGTTGATTTGGGTATTTCCTTAATATTACTCGAACATATTCTCTAAAGCTAGTCAAACAAATCCCTTCATTTTGCTTCAGTAAATAGGCCAGACTCCCCAGTTAGCCCATTAATTTATAGGTTTTAAGGTTATTGGCCCTTTACCTAAAAATTTAAAGGGCTAATGCTCCTCAATAATTTGATTTGAGAGAATTCACTTTTATTTATAAATTTTAATCTCATCTTATTAGTTAAATTTTATTTCTATTTTAGTCAATAACATAGCATTTCTATCATATGTGGCACGCCACTGTGGTTATTAACAAAAATTTCTCCCTCAGTATAATATAAGTCTCACTCTGATAAAGTTAATTATCTATTATTTTCAAGATTTTGAACAAGTTTTTTTTTTTTTAAAATTTATTAGGACAGAGTGTGGCATTACTACAGTGGCATTCCACATAGGATAAAGATACTAATTGTGTCATTTATTCAAATAAAAATAACATTTGACTAATGATGTAATATTAAAATTTGTTAAATAATGGTAAATTTCTCCAAATCATATTATTGAGGGGTTAATACCCTTAAGTTTTTAGGTGAGGGACTAATAAATTTAAAATTTATAAGTTATGAGGTTAAATATGGGGTTAAGTTAAGAGATAAAATAAGGGGTTAAGCCCAGTTAATATCTTTTGCTATAGGGACTTTTTTTGCTTCAATTAAAAGATAAAACTTAGATTAGACTCATATATCAGCTGAGGATTAGTGCCTTTAATTAAAATCGTTTAAGGAGAAATTAATGTCAAAATGTGAAGTTGGTTCAAAGATATTTAAAAAAAATGAAAAATGAAAAATGAAAAATGTAGTATTGGAATGACCTTTCATCAATTATGTGTATTTCCATTTACCCTTCATGGAGTCTATCATTTGCTGGTGCTTCTCGGGAACTTGGGATATTCTCTGTTCCGACTCCTTGGCAAGGCAAGAGTGCCCTTATACAGTGCTTGTTATATAGGTAAATTTGAAGTCCAGATCCACACAATTAAGTTATTTTACTCGAACAGTTTATTTTTAATAATTTTAATTTAATTTTAATTTTTCACATATAAATTTTAAATAAAAGCTTAGTCATTTATATAAATAATAATTAAATTTTTTTGTCTCTATATTTAATTTTTATTAAGTATTTTTATTTAAAAAAATTTAATTATTATTTATACAACATAATAATTTATATTTAAAATTTATATTTAAAAATTAATAAATTAAATTAAATTTATTAAAAATGAACAAAAAAAAAAATACACTCACCAAGCCAACTCAAATCAAAACTAAAA